CCCGCGAGGTCCGAGGCCTTTAATCTGGGGTGACTCTGAACTAGGGGAGCCCCGAGAGCCAGGCACTAGCACACGTGGCCACGTCAGGAGTCCCCACCCAGGCCTTGAGGTATTCCCGCAAATCCGGCTTCGGTTAAGAACGGGAACCCAACGGCCGTGCCACCCTGAACACGCCCGATCCCATCCGATCTCGGAAGCTAAGCAGGGTCGGGCCTGGTTAGTACTTGGATGGGAGACCACCTAGGAAGACCAGGTGCTGTAGGCGTAAAAAAAAAAAGATTTTCTTTTATATAATTGTATTAACCAATGTTACCCCAATAAACTAAGAAAAAAAAAAAAAAAGAACGAGAACCCACACACAGGTAACAGGGCGCCGGGAGTGAGGCCAGCAGACGTAGGCCAGGAAGGTACGGGGGACCCATAGCTGTGCTTCCTGCGCTTAAAGAAACAAAACGCCAGCAAGAAAAGTCATCCAAGAATAAGGAACTGTAAAGAGCGAGCAGACCTAAGGAGAAGAACTTTAAGAAATGAAATTAAAAACTCAGTGCGTGAGTTTAACAGCAGATCGTGTACTGCAGACTTAATGAAAGAAAAACCATCAAATATGAAGAAATTGCTCAGAGACAGAGAGAGAGAGGAAGGGAGGGAGGTGCGTGAAGGAAGGTGACGTGCTGGTCAGAGCTTCAGGAGCAGAGGATGTGGGGCTTGGAGACACCCGAAGGGCTGGGCCGGGGCTGGGCCGGGGCTGGGCCGGGGCTGGAGCAGTCCAGCGCGGTGATTCTCAGTGCCAGGACGCCGGAGCTCGCCCCACCCGAGTGACCACAAGAAGTGCATGCTGGATGTGTCCCCACAGAGCTCGGAGCCCCAGAGGCTCTGGACCATCCTGAAAGCTGCCTACAAGCTCAGCCGCCGTGGGACCCGCAGACCACGAGCTGCCGTGGGCCCAGGGAAGACAGCTGCCAGCCGGAGTCACATGCGGGCGGCCTCACCTTTCACTCTCTAGGGCAAACCATGATTTTGCCATCACCTGTCTCAGGTGGGAGGCGGCCGACGTGCTCTCAACGGGTGCCTGGTGAATGTGTGGGACTCGCCGCCCTGTGGTCTCTGCAGTGACCCAGGTCTGCCCGTGTGGCCCAGAAGCCACCACAGAAACTATGGAAGTGTGGGCGTGGCTGCATGCCAATAAAACTTTATTTACAAACGCTGGTGGCAGCCTGCTGCATATCTTAAGCTGAGCAAACAATCTGTAAATTATTTTTCATTCTTATTATTCTCTAAACTGTAGCCATACATTATATGTGCTTGCTGTCATTTGGGTAGTTTTTACAATGAAAAGCTTGAGAGAGGGGACTGGCCAACTGGATGGGATGCCAGGGGGTCAGGAAAAGTCAGGACCGAGAAGAGCCCATTTTTCACAGGGCGAGTGTTGCTGTGATCTCGTGGGTGGCCTCTGTGCAGTGGCGCAGCTGTCAGCTCAGCCAGAGCAAGGACCAGACGGGACAGTGTCTTCTGGCAGAAGGCGCCGGGAAGTGGGCGGGGGTGAACTCCAGAGGGAAGTGCCCGGCACGTGCAGGACAGGGTTCAGTGGGACTGGACAGAGGCAGGCGGGCAGAACTGTGAGCCTCCCTGCCTCGCACGCTCTGGCCACAGCTTCTTAGATGCTGGCAGAAGACACGAGACCGTCAGGCACAGCAGTTGGCTGCGGGGCTCCTTGTCCCCCCATCCCACAAAGCGGAGTGGGGCGTGTCCTGGGCCTGCACAGCAGCCGAAGAAGGCCAGCGCCGGAACCCCAGCTGCCGCGGTCCAGCCACGACAGGATCCAGGGGGCCCCGAAGGTGGGCAAGGCGTCGGCGCGGGAGACAGTCGACTACACGACTCAGAGGTGGTGTGACGCTGTTCTGTTTTATTGTGATTTGAGTACAACTTTTACAGTTTTTATTTTGGCATTTGATTATACTTTGTAGTTAAGGTAGCAGGGAGTTAAATTTCTGTGGTTAGGCAAAGCAGAAAAATCTAGAGTATATTATTATTAATGTTCATGATGAACTAGTACATTTTTCTCTCAATCATTAGAACAGAACTACCTGAAGGAACAATCTAAACTTTTAATTCTTACATCTATTACGTAAGATACAGTTTGATTTAAGTAAAGGTGATAGATAGATGTATTCATAACAGCAAGCATTGGCTTGTGGGCAGACATTGTTCTTCTTTCTGCCTGAAGAAATCTTTTAGATGCTATTTGATTTGTGCTATATCTAAAGTTCAAGCTGAACCTTCCTCATAGCTGTTCAAAAGTTTCCTTGGTGCAGTAATGAGGAAAATATTTATAAAAATCAGTTTTACAAAGCTGCTTTCATAAGCTAAGTTTCTGTTCCTTTGTTTTTTAAGCACTAAGGAGGTCCTGACCTAGCCAGCCTTTCTATGAAACTTAAACTACTATAAGGCACATGAGTTCCATCTTTATTCACTATACGTACACTATCTTTATTATAAGCTCCTGTATAAGGCAAAGGAAGATCAGGTAATCTTTTCATACTATTAGCCCCCCCAGGTGGGTACCAGAGTTTTCTATTTATCCACTAGGCCACAAAAGGAGGCCCTTCCATAGTAGGCACAGGCTTATGCGTAAATTTATCCTTTACTAATTTTTCTACTAACTGTGTGGGAACAGGAGTATAAACTGATTCTAGTAATTCAGCTTGTTATAATTTATTCGTAACATCTTTAAGAGGCGCGTCGAAAGGAATTTCTCTTAATAATTGTTCAAATAAAGGGTTTACGCATTCTGGATACGTCAGGGTGACTGGAGCTGATTCCATACGCGGGGAATTTACTGTTTTTTCCTCAGAGCCAATTTTGAGGAAATCCATTTGTACAGCGTTTACACTTACTAGAATTTGTGCTACCCAAATTCCCCCTATTAATAGGATCGTTTCTAAGAAACCAATTATCCCTAAACACGTGCCACG